TTTTTTTTTTTTTTTTTTTTTTTTTTTTTTTTTTTTTTTTTTTTTTATATTTGGGTTTATGTTTATGTATCTGTTTATGTTTATATTTTTGTTTGTATTTGTATTATATATTATATATATTATATATTATATAATATATAATGTATAATATATAATATGCAATATATATAATATGTATAACATATATAATATATATTCTATATATTCTATGTATATAAAATATAAATATACAAATACAATATATAATATATATTATATATAGAATATATATAATATATGTTATATATATTCTATATAAAATATATATAATATATATTCTATATATTCTATATAAAATATATATAATATATATTCTATATATTCTATATATAATATATATTATATATTATATTTATATATTTATATTTTTGTACTGATATATATATATATATATATATATATATATATATATATATATATATATATATATATATATATATATATGTATATATCAGAAGCTGCTCCACGTTAGCAGCAACAAAGAGAAACCACACACCCTCTGGGCCCCAGCATGCATAGATGTACGCATGCATGCACGCATGCATGCATGCATGCATGCATGCATGCATAGACGCTTGCATGCATGCATGCATGCATGCATGTTTTATTTTTATATTCTTACAACTTTAGGGATTAGCGGGTCCTCCAGCAAGAGCCTGAGATGAGTAACCATTTGTTTTGTTTTATTATATAAATCAAACAAAACAACAAAACCTATATCTGCTGCAGCAGCAACTGCAGCAAGAAGCTCTGCTGTAACGCCGCTTTCTGCTGCTGTTCCTGCTGCTGCTGCTGTTGCTGCTGCTGCTGCTGTTGCTGCTGCTGCTGCTGCTCTAGTTTTGTCCTCCATAGCACCCCCACAAATCCTCACGCTGCTGTTATGCCGCGGTGCCGTCGCTGCTGCTGCAGCAGCAGACCCTGCAGCAGCAGCAGCAGCAGCAGCAGCAGCATTGCTGTTGCTGTTCTTTTCGGGTCCTTTATCTATGGGCATTTGACGCTCAACACAAAGCTGCAAGAGAGAAAGCCTTGCGTGTCCTGCTGCTGCTGCTGCTGCTGCTGTTGCTGCTGTTGCTGCTGCTGCTGCTGCTGCTGTTGCCTGCATGCAGCGCTCGTGTTGCTGCTGCTCAGCAGAGGCAAAGCCCCATTCTAAGTCGACAGCCAGCAGCAGCGAATCCCCCCCTGCATGCAGCAGCGCCAGCGCGTTGCTCCTGAGCACTCACAAGGATAACAACAAAAGTATAAATCAGGTAGAGACACAGCTGTTGCTGCAGCTGCTGCTGCTGCTGCTGCTGCAGCTGCTGCTGTTTGTGAAACACACCAGAGCTGCGTTGTCTGCTCATCGTCTACAAGAAAAAGGAGACGCTGACGCGAGGCCCCGTATAGCTCTGCCTTTTGGGGGCCCCCACTCAGCCTGAGGGCCCCCATGAAGCCGAGGGTCTGCCACGCATGCAGCAGCAGCGCAGGGGGGGCCTCGAGCTGTACTGCGCGGAGAACGGAGTGTATGTCCAGCTTGCGGCGGCGCTTCTCCTTGCTGCTGCCTGCTGCTGCTGC